GATGAAGGAGAATGACAGGAATGAAAGTGGCTTATGTGAAGAAGCATTCCTGACTCTATACTGCACAAAGATGCGGTGGTTAAAAATCTTGCAGTCTACATACACGAGACCAGCAGCAGTTTCTCGGCTTCGGCCTCCTCCAGTGAGCCTCGCCCGTGCTCCTCATCCGTACAGCAGTTCAGGGCCTGCAGCGTCTGGTTAATCACAGTCTGCAGTTTCCCAGCTTCTTCATTAAGAGCCTGGACACAATCAACCAAACCCAGAGCATCACTGATACATGTAATATATTCAAAAGGTTCCACAGTTCTTGGGGTTCTCACTCTTTAACAAACATTTTGTTGCACTACAGTTCCAGATACAAATAACATAAGAGTGTAATGAGGCGCGATCACGTTCGAAAGTATTAAGCTCCTCTGCATAAAAGTCTCCATTAAAAAATTCTACATGCTTGAAATTTAGACCAGATGAATGTCAAGTTTCCATAATTAAACCGCTTTTTAAATTCATTGCTCAACTGATTTAGTCCTGCTCCATTTGTTGAAATTGAGAAAGACTTCAAATTTCTGTTACTCCTTGTGTAAACTTCAGGACAGGTAAGTTGTTGGACAATATTGAGCTTAGCCTTCAGTAATATCAGTGTTTTTCTAAACTAGTCAAAGCAAACTACACACCGTTATTTTCTCCTTGATGTTGACAGGCGGTTGAGGCTTGGGCGTCTCTTCAGCCCGTCTCTGAACCCCCGGAGTGACGCTCTGGACGATGGGAAGCTTACTCTGCCTTTGTGTGCGATAGGCATCGATGCTGACAACCAGAGAACAAACAAACATTAACATAAGGATAACAATGTTTGAGAAACAATGTGCGAGTGCTGGCACAGTTCAAGAGTTCACAGAACAGTGTGGGTAAAGCATCCTGGAGCTTTCTGAACATGCACAACATGTAGATTTGATTCGTAAATTTAAAAACATATAAAACATTAGGCACCAACAGCCCACCAGACTGCTGAAGAGCACAATCTCACGTGTTGGTGCAGACTGATTCAGTCGTTTTTACTAAGGGACCAAGACTGTGATGATAAAAGGCTTGATTGTTGACATAGTGTTTTTAATGATGATGTTTCTGGCAATGTGACATTTTTGTTTATTTGCTGAACATGTCTCCAAAAATGCACGCCATTGTGGAGAAACTGCTCAGCGCAGCACAGTGGTGTTGCATGCGTGAGATTGGGTCCAAGATCATCAGAGTTTTCAAATGAGCCCACTGTGAGATCTGATAATGATATTATTGCAGTGTAACTGCTATAAACTGATAAAACGTTCATGATCCTGATTTTGGATCAGATAATTTTTTTTCTGTTTTAATAACTTGGAGGAATTATCCCATTTTTATGAGGAACTAGAGAGTGGTGTAAATGTATGGAGATTAGTGACTACTGCCAAGGCTGTACCAAAAACAAACAAACAAACAAACAA